TTAAAAACCTACCCACCAAAAATACCAGGCCCACAGCCTTTTACAGGTGGATTTCTTCAAAACCTTCAAAAACATGTAATCTTATAATATGGCAAAAGAAAAGCAACCCAACTCAGTTACGAGAATAGAACAATGTTTTCTATTTCCTGGGCAATTCAGTGCTAAAGCCATGAAGTGGAACAGAGCAAGATACATGTGGGAGGGGAGTGAAAGGCAAGGGGCCCGGGAGGGAGCTGGAGGCCCAGGCATTGACAGGTGGGTGTATCCTCAGAGAAGGGCAGTTCCTGTGGGATGTCAGCTCAGCACTGGGGAGCAAAGGGCATCCCCATATGGGAGGGTGTAGCAGCCATAAAAGGAGACTGGTTACTTACAGTGGGATTGAGCAAATCAACATTGTAAGGATAATAGGATCTGAGTTACTCATTGTTGGAGAGAAGATAGGTACAAATATAGAGAGGGGCAGAACTAGAAGAACTGTGTGGTGTTAGAATGGAAATGATGTTATCAATGTAATCTCAGAGTTTTCAGTAGATAATAGACAGATCCAGAAAGTAAGGAAGTGCTCAGAATGATGGGGGCATGCTGAAGACACACGTCAGCTTAATAAGGTTCCCACTGGCCAAATCAGGGATGATTTGAGTATCAAAAGACATAATGATAGTAAAAGATTATAACCCATGAGTCTACACAGACAAAAATAGACAATGAATAAATTGAAAATTTGGTGAGGAATATTTACAAAGTCTCAAAGTATCTCCACGTAACTTATTCATTTATTACAAAGGGACACAGACAATTTCACAGAGGAGGGGAATGGTAAAAAACAAAAACAAAACCTCTTTAGGCAAAGTGATCAAAATCACCAAACAACAGGACAAATTGAAATTTTGTGCCACTGATAGGATCCAAAAGAGAAAAACACAGCATCACTTCTATGGTATTCCTGCTGAGATGCATAACTTGAATCTGATCATGAAGCAACAGCAGACAAATTCCAACTGCAGATGTTCTACAAAATAACAGCCTGTAGTCCTCAAGTGTGGAGATCATAAAAGTCAAAGAAGGACTAAGGAACTGTTTGCAGACTGAAGGAGAATAAAGAAACATGATAACTAATGCACTCAAATAGCACGGGGGGGGGGGGGGGAGGATAAAATTCCTTGCACTGTGCTTGCAACTTTTCTGTAAGTATGGGTATAAATAAAAAAATAAGTGTAATCTCAAAGCCAATAATGCAATACAATATAGGAAAATTAGAGGCTAATTCCCCTTATGACCAAAACCAAAATTTATAAATTTTTAGCAAATAAAAAAACAAATTGTTTTAAAATGTATCATCCACAAGAAGGATTTGCCCCAGGATTGTTAGATATCAGAAAAACCTATCAGTGTTACTATACTAAACTTCATTAAAAAGTATACTGAATTTACAGAGTAAAAACAAAAATTTAATCACATTAGCACATTAATAAAGAACATGATACAAATTTTAAAAAACTATTATAATTTTTCTAAATATCTCTAAGCAAGCTAGGAACAGGGGGGAAATTTAAAAATACAAGTAAAGATATTTATAGGGAAAAAAAACTAAAAGCAAACATAGTTGATACAAAACCTTAAAAATGATTCCCTTTAAAATCAGGAACATCCTTGAGGCCTAGTGTGCCACTTAAAAAAAAAAGAATGTATTGCAGTTCTAAGCCAATGCAAAAAGTCAAGACCAAAATAAAAGCTGTAAGAATTGAAAAGGAGAAAAACCCCTTATATTATGATGCCATAGAATTAGAATAGCATGGTATTGGCAAAGGAATAGGAAATCATATAAATCGATTTAGTCCCAGCCAAAATTCATTTATATGGGAGATGTATATAATAGAGAGCATATTATAAATCACTGTGGATAAACTATGAGAAGTTGGTGCTAGGAAATCCATATAGGAAAAAAATGAAAATTATATCCATACCTCATATCATATACAAAGACATATTAAAAACATAAATGTGAGAATCAAAAATTTTTAACACTTACTAGGATCAGGGAGACTTTTTTTAAAGCACTACACAAAAAGCATAGCCCTTAAAAATAAAACACTGATGATTTTGACACATTAAAACCAAATCATCTGTATGACCAAAAAAAAGTGAAATGTGACAAGCTGTTTGCACTAGATATGACAAGGGATTAATATGCAGAATATATAAAGAAATCTTACAAATCAATAAAAAATAGAAAAAGTCTAACAGATATAAAACTTGATGGCAAAAAAAACCCCCAAAAGATACTTAATGTCACTAGTAAACTAGAGGTGCAAGTTAATACTACAATAAATTATCACTACATACCCACAGTAGGGCTGGAAGGGCTAATTTTTATAAGGGGGGTCAGTGAAAAAGAACTCTAAAATATTGGTAGATTGTAATTTAACACAAGCTCAAGAGCAATTTGGCAATGCCCCATGATTGCTTTAATTATTTCTGACTAGAGAAACTCACATGTGCCTAAGGAAGCAGTATACACTGCAGGCAAACTGCAAAAAATTGGAAAGAACCTGTCCAACCATTAGGAAATAGATAAACTGTTACTTTTTCTCCACATGAAAGAACAACTATAAACAATAAATCAGACCTTTGTGGCTAAATGTCATATACAAGGTGAGTTAAAACAGCAAGTGGCGGGCGCCTGGGTGGCTCAGTCGGTTGCGCGACTGCCTTCGGCTCAGGTCATGATCCCAGGGTCCTGGGACCAAGTCCCACATCGGGCTCCCTGCTCTGCGGGGAGCCTGCTTCTCCCTCTCGCACTCCCCCTGCTTGTGTTCCCTCTCTCGCTGTGTCTCTCTCTGTCAAATAAATAAATAAAATCTTAAAAAAAAAAAAAAAAACAGCAAGTGGCAAGAGTATAGTATAATGCGCCCTGTAGGTCATAAAAGCTCATAAAATGCTACTATATATTGTTCATATGTGTGTGTGTGTGGGGGGGGGGTGGGTGGGTGTGGGTGGGTGTGTGTGGGAGGGGGTAAAAGCATTATATCATACAATGGAATGATATCCACAAACTTTTGACACCTCTGGGAAGGGTCAAAAGACACAGGGCTTCATCTTGCCTGTAATGTTTTACATTTTACATTTTAAAATCTTAGTAGGGGGGATGCCTGGGTGGCTCAGTTATTATGCATCTGCCTTCTGCTCAGGTCATGATCCCAGGGTCCTGGAATCGAGCCCAGCATTGGGCTCCCTGCTCCACGGGAAGCCTGCTTCTCCCTCTCCCACTCCCCCTGCTTATGTTCCCCCTTTCCCTGTCTCTCTCTGTCAAATAAATAAGTAAAACCTTAAAAAAAAAAAAATCTCTTAGTAGGAAGAGCATGTGACTCTTGATCTCAGCATGGTGAGTACAAACCCCATGTTGGATGTAGAGATTGCTTAAAATAAATAAAAATTTTAAATAAGTAAAAAATAAAATCTGAAACAAAATGGTTAATTCATTAAATTGGTAAACTGTTAACATCTCTATGGAAAAGTGTGGGAGTGGGAGAAGAGATCTGCCTCAGACAACTGATCGTGGGTTCTGCGTAATGATAGTTTTCACCATACAGATGAAAATACCAGTGCTAAAACACTCCAGAAGGGAAAGCAGTTAGTGAAGTAAGGGACCAGTAAGCAGGATGCTCAATCACAAGGTAATTTATACACTGAAATAAAATGCAAACCAAGAAGCAATGCCTTTGAGGACCAATTATATCCCATTGATGAAATAAATGCAAATTCCAATTTAAGAGAATGAAATAAAACACAGTAACCTGGGCTGCCTGGGTGGCTCAGTAGGTTAAGCATCTGCCTTCGGATCGAGCCCCACATCAGGCTCCCTGCTCGGCGGGAGGCCTGCTTCTCCCTCTCCCACACCCCATACTTGTGTTCCCTCTCTGTCTCTGTCAAATAAACAAAATTAAAAAACAAAACAAAACACAGTAACCTATCACATTCTTCCATACCACTACAAACCCACCATAGACTCTTCTAGATGGCATTTAGTCCAGGGTTGATCGAATTCATTTTTTTTTAGCTAAATTATCTCATTTCAGGGTTAATTTGTAGTACCTTCTCAAACAATTATACTTATTCACCCCCTGAAAAATTATTTGTTGAGTCTCTGAATATAAGCAGCATTTTGCCAGAGGCTATGGAGGAATACAATGGGAAGAGATTGGAAGCTCTTTTCTTCAGACTCATTTAATCCATGCAAAAACTATGATATAGTTACTGTTTTTCCCATCTTACAGGTAAATTGAGATTCAGAGAATTTAAAATGTACCCCAAATCACCATGCTGACATAGCATGAGCCCTAATTCAAATTCCGTTTGTCAGACAACCTCAAAACCCATACCTTTTCACAATACAGTTAGCTCTCAAGCCCAGGGGAGATCTTTTGTCTCACTGTCCTGCTCTACTTTATACGGGCTATACTCACAGTATACCGTGAGTTACGTTTTTCCAAGCACCACCCCCCAATACAAACTTTACGCCAGACCAAGATTAAAAAACAAATCTAAAAAGTTAAGGAACAAAGTGAACAACTAAAATCCTCCACACCAGGCATTGTACCAGGAACTTTACATATACTTCCCAAATCTAATTACATTATCACACATAGCATGAGTATCATCAGCTCATTTTACAGGTGAGGAAACATCTGTATACAAATAACCTGCCTAAATTCGTACAGCTAGTTATGTGAAGCGAGGATCTGAACCAGGAAGTCTGATTCCCAAGTAGGCATGGTTAATCACTAACAGTTTTATCCACTTTTTTGTACCCAGTGAGAAATTTATTTTCTATTTTAGATCATGATCCAATATGCACACACACATATAAAAGTAAGCCAACTTCTACAAAACACTATTTACCTTAATAATATGTAGCAAGAAAAAAATGCTTTTAAGATGCTGGTTTTGGATCATGAAATTAGTATCTCATGAACCATGACTGAAAAATGCACAACGCCTAATTGCTTCAAAGATACAGTATTTATTACAATTATAGCCACAAAAAAAGAAAGGAAAAAAAGAAAAAACCATATGGCACTAAATGGTCACAGAGCCGAGTGATAATTACGAATATTAAAAAAAAATTGCTATTCGGAGAAAATACAATATGTACATTACTTAGACCATGCATAATGCTTATATACATGGGAAATATATAAATATAAAATAGCTGTCCTAAGGTAAAAAAGGATATGGACAATTACATTTTTTTTAATTTATAAAGGTTTTTATTTTAACTTACAAACTGTTAAAGAGACCAGATAATAACCACCTCGCTTTTATTTTCTTGGCGCCAAAGCAATTTACCGATGTGCTCTTTTTTAAACACCAGTTCCAGATCACGGTACAAAGTTTTTCAATCAGTTGTATAATGGTAGCAAAATTTTTACGCCAAAATATACAACGATAAAACAAATCAAACCAAAATCCCCTCCTAATATTTTTAAAAGTGAAAAGCTGGAACCAAGTAACTTACATTAAAAGAGAACGTATGTTTGCAAACACATCCTAGAGCCACACACATTTAAGCGTTACGGAAATATGCTCCCTCCCACCCCTAACCCTTCACCCAGTGCCTTTGACCTTCCCCAGAAGTCCCTCTGAATCTATCTCAGACTTCAAGAGGAGGGGGCTGGGCCACCTGTCTCAGGTCTGGCTCTGGCCTCCTCATCTGCCAAAGCCTCACAGTACTGTGCCGGCCAGTCCTTGGGGTCTTGATTATGGACTTTGGCCACAAACTTAAGAACTTTCATCTTGCTGGTTTCCAGGTTGGTTCGGGGGCCCCACTGTAATTCATAGTCTACAGGATCAGTGTGGGGTATCCGCCGGTACTCCAGGTAACGCTGCCGCACGAACTCTTCGGTAATAAGTTTCTTTGGGTCCCCAAAAACTAAATGCTTCTTTGTGGGGTACACCCCTAAGCGACGCAGGAAGTCCCAGACCTCCGTTTCCTTGATGGTATTGCCCTTCATAAAGATGAGACCTAAAACAATCATCAGGAGGCCGGTGGTGGGCGTGCCCTGGTCGCCTCTCACCTCGGCATCCTCCTCCACCGGTTCCAGGGTGTTGATCAGGATGTAGGTGTTGCTTTTGGGTTCCAGTTCCACCAGCTTGTACCCGAAGACGTACTCGAGGCGCTCGGCGGCCAGTTTAAGGAGGTCAGGGAAGATGTCCTTGTAGTCCCCGATGACGTGCTTCAGTATGTCAGTGCGCTTGATCGGGATCTTCTTCTGGTCCTTAATCAGCAAGAACTGCACCAGCTCGGCCACCTTCAGCTCCAGCTGCTGCTGGGACCTGGGCCCCACCTCCGGGGAGGCCGCGGCCCGGCGGGCGCCCTGCGACGATGCGCTCCGGGCCTCCCGGGAGCTGCCCGCCCCGCGGGAGGTGCTCGGGGCCTCCTCGGCCGCAGCGCGGCCCCAGTCCCTCTCCGCCTGGGAGCTAGGCCGGCCCCGGCTCCTCGGTTTCTGCAACATGTCCCCGGCTGCGGGAGCCCTAACGGGCGGCGGCGGCGGCGGCGGGATCGCAGCGCGCAGCGGGAACTGTGGGTTGGCGCGCGGCACGTTTGGGCGGGGCCAGAGGGGGCGCGCGTTGCATCACGGAGACCGCGCCTGCGTCGGCGGAGACTGCGCGTTGCGTCGGGGGCGTCTCCCCGGCCGCGGCGCGTCGGCGGAAAGCCGTGGAGTCTTAGCTGTGGTTCTCGGTGGAACCTAAGGTGTTGTCCTCGCCAAACCACCCGGACAGAGAACAGGAACCAAAACTAAGCAAGTGTGCGGCTAAGCTCAGGACCACAAGGGCTCAGGCAAGTACTGCAGAAAATGAGTATAAGAGTTCTAAAATCGCGAATATTCTTAGATGGAGGGAACTCAAAGTCTGAATGTGGGAGAACAGTAAGGTGAGGAGGACGGTAAGAGCGTGAAAGTGAAGTAAAAGCATTTCCTTCTACACAAAACGACGTAAAAAGAATAAAAGACCCAGATGATTTCCTAACTACGTTTGCCTTCGCCACGCCCTCCCCTCGGCTCAGGTTCAGACCCTCATAACCATTTACCACCAGTTACTTTCTCTAATGCCCCTAAGAGTTTATTAAAAACGAATGTTTGGTAAAAGCAACGTTGCCTTGCAAGCAAGACTCTTAACCGCGTTTTCATTCTTTCAGTATTTATCGTCTATGCATTAAACTCCCTCTGCTAGACAACCAGGACAAACCACCACATAAAACACGTTACAGTGAGGTCTTCTTCTACGTTTCGGGAAGCACTTGCTCATGTAAACTGCCTTGGGCCCACAACCACAGTTTTAGCAGAAATGGCTAAGAAGAATGCTACAAACAGAAACGTGCTCTCTCAAGAGATTCCCATCTAATTTTGGGCATCACTGATCAAGAACTGCAATAATGTGAATCTCTTAAATTTCTTAATTTTTAATATCTTAGCCTTAGGGCTCAAGAGAGAAAAGAGAACGCAGGGATGTCAGTCCTCATCATCTGTGATGTGTGCACTTTGTGTATATATATTTAATTGGGCAGCTCTAATAGCCAACATGAGTCATTTAATTAACTCAAACCATCTGCAGTCTGCTGCCATTACTTCTGCAGATCTTAGCAAATGCGTTCCTTTTCTATTTACTGACTTGCAGAGAAGAAACTGAATTTCCTACTGTCTTTTTAAAGCTGCCCAGAAAGTGGGCGAACTTCAAAGAACCAAATCGAGTTCCTCTTTAATGCAAATATAGTCAAAGGAGAGCAATTCAAAACACATTATTTGAATAATAGTATCAAAACACAACCTTATTAAAATTTCATTAAGTGTTAGTGACATGAAATTTTTGTTTGTAATTCAATACGAAAATGCAATCTGATAATGGCCCTGGAACTGCAAATCTAAATGTAAAATGATATTCCATGTTGTGATGCAAGTATGCTAAGATCTGGTACACTATGAGTAATAACTCTCTGTTCCACACAAGATCTAACAATATATCCTCAAGCATCCATCTTAATGACAGAAGCCTACTAAGAAAAACAAATATATCATCAAGGCATTCATTTTTTTTTTAACAATGAGAAAATTCATCTGCTTCATTTTCCTTACAAATTTGGACTTATGTTAAACCTCCTGCAATCAAGAATTCTGCAAAAGGTCCCTCCAGAAGGATCAGTTGTACCCTGAGTTTAAAAAAAGAAAGAAAAAGAGAGAAAGAAAAAATCAGCAACCAACAGATAACAGAGAAATGGAAAATGAGATGAAAACCATTGTCAACAATTAGGCTGCATTTTCAGTATAAATCTGCAGTGTCTTTCAGCAGCATCTTAATTCAACAGATTGTCATACTCAAAATAGGTCAGAAAAGATACTGGCTAAAACCAGTATCTCTATACTGTGTCCAGGAGAATTCAGGTATGAAAATACAGACATAAAATAATAGTATTAGAATGAACTTTAGGCATCGTATGGAGAAGTCATCCAGACCACCCTCCATTTTAGAATGACATGGAAAGCCATGGATATTTGGGGAAAAACTGTCGTGATGGTGATGATGGTAATAACAACACTAACAGTAATAATAATACATAGAAACAACAGCTGACAGTTATTTCAAAGGTAACTGTGGGTCAGACTCTGTTCTAAGTGGTCTACATGGATTACTTTATTTAATCACCATGACAACCCTATGAGACCTGTTTATTAGGTTTCTCTTGTCAAAAGGAAGAAACTGAGGCACAGAGGAAAATATTAACTGTTTGGGGGTCCTATAGCAAGTAAGTGATGGATCTGGTTCTGAATTAAGATATTGTGCCTCCAGACACTGCTCTTAACCATATGTTGAAGCAGAGAGAACATAAATATGATGTCCTTGAAAAAGCAAAGGTATGGAGTTAGATGGACCTAGATTAGAAATCTGTGTACCACCGGGGGAGCTACTGATGCTCCTTTCTGTTTCCAGATCAACAAAATGAGATTACTGTAATCTCTCCTTATCCAGAGGGAGTATGTTCCAAGACCCTCAGTGGATGCCTAAAACTGCAGATAGACCTGAATCCTATATAGTCTATGTGTTTTCCTATACATGCACATATATACCTATGATAAAGTTGATCAGTTAGGCATAGTCAGAGATTAAAAACAATAACCAATAATAAAGTAGCACAATTATAACAGTATATGTAATGTAAAGTTATGTAAATATGGTCTCTCTCAAAATGTCACCCTTCTTATGATGTGAGATGATAAAATGCCTGCATGATGAGATAAAGTGAGGTGAATGACACAGGCACTGTGATGTAGCATTAAGCTGCTCTTGACCTTCTGACTATAAGTCAGAAGAAGGATCATCTGCTTGCAGACCACAGCTGACCAAGAGTAACCGAAAGAGCAAAAAGCGAAACCACAGATAAGGGGGGACTACTATAATAACCCAGGCATCAGGGAACTAATGAGATAGGTTTGCCAAGTACCTAGCACAAGGCTGGGACCGGGTAGTTGATAACAGTTTGCTTCTTTCCACAGGGTTTATGTTAAGGAAACTATCTGAGGACTCTACAAAGCTGTATGTAGAAAGATGTTTACTGAAGTGAAACATTTGTACACACAAAAATGAGAAAAAGGTCTGGAAAGAAACATATTAAGGTGCTATTAAAATTATTTTCTTTTATTTTTTTATTTATTTTATTTTATTTTATTTATTTATTTGAGAGAGAGAATGAGAGAGAGCACATGAGAGGGGGGAGGGTCAGAGGGAGAAGCAGACTCCCCGCCAAGCAGGGAGCCCGATGCGGGACTCGATCCTGGGACTCCAGGATCATGACCTGAGCCGAAGGCAGTCGCCCAACCAACTGAGCCACCCAGGCGCCCCAAAATTATTTTCTTTTAAAAATGAAATTCAGTGTTGATTGTCTTGCTTGGGAGATAAGTGAGAAATATATTCTCAATGATTTTAACGTCCTAGTGACACCACGCCCTAGCAGTCATACACATTCAAATTTTCAGTAAATTCAGTGTGACTTGAATATGACATTTGTGACTTTGTTCAGCCAGTGAAGTAATAAAGGCAAGTGGTTTAAAAAGAAAGACATTTTCAGTTTATGTTAATGACCTTAATACTTTCATTACTAGACCCAAAAGAAAAAGAAGGAAAAATTCTTTGAGGCAAAATTAAGCTAGCTAGGATTTCAAATGCATTAAACAAAGAAATGCCTACCAGTTAGCACTTGCTCTTTAGAGGTCTCTGAGTAATTAATTGCCTTATTTCATCTCCTTGGTAGCACATGACTGCCAACAAGCTCTAATCATCTTTATTATCTACTGGATTCTCCTCTTCATTCACTGGTATTTCTTGCAGAACCAGAGAAAGTTTTAAATTTTCTCAGCAACCTATTGCAAAAAGCAGGTAAGGGCTTTCTGGGGAAGAAAAGCAATGATAAAAGCATGCAGCCACCATATATGAACAGCTTCACTGCCTTTTCCAGTGAAAGGAAGTGGGACAGTGTGTAGCATGTGAGCAAAGGAGCTGGAGCTGGGAAGGCAGATACTATTTTGGTGAGTAGATAGGAGGAAAAGGATTCCAGATACGTTAATGGTTGCACTAAAATCCCTTGTGTCCACTCATTCGTAACATAGATCCATACAGGTTAAAAGACACAATAGGACTACTCGATAACACTTTGTCCCTCATGGAAGAATACTTTAAATGGCAACAGAGCTTTCCTTGGCTGGTGGAAGGGGGTAGAGAGATGTAGCTTGATGAGATAGCTCTTTCCAAGCACTGCAGCTATTTGGCCCAGAAACACCTTCTTAGACTCTTTTCAAGAAATACAAACCTTCCAGTTATGCAGGGCCTTTTACTTACGAAAATCATTAAAATCTATTGAGTTATAAAATTACAAACACATAAGGTCTCAATAGTGGCCAATAAATTTCTTGTTTGCTTGTTTTTCCCTCTTGTTCTGCATCTTTTCCTTTTAGGAACTGCTTCTTCCAATCTCTGGGAGACCTTGGTAAGGCTCTACCTTTCTCTCCTGAGTGCATGAGATGCAGGCCAGCCACAGCAACTGGTTCAAAGTCCAATCCACATCCTTTCAGAGGTTCACATAGGTTCTCTTTCTCCAAGCCGACAAGCTGGGTGGTGATGTAAGCCTAGCCACCTTTGCCTTTGCTTGGACATAGCCTGCCTCATGGTGAAGCCAACTCAAAGATCTAAGAGAGAAATAGTCTTAATGCTGCCATGTGAATTTCTGGATCCTGAGTTCAAGGTCAAACTCTGGGGTAACTACTTATTGAAGCAAGTCAAATCTCCTTTTGCTTTACCTGCTTTCAGTTGGTTTTCCTTACTTGAAACTGGAAAAATTCTGGCTAAACAGTATCCAAACCCAATTAAGCAGGAGAATAAAGGGTACTAAGGAATGAGACTTGGTTTAAAGAGAATGGAGCTATACGAAGTTAATATTACCTATAAGGTTATTGAATGTAATGAGAGGCGATCTGAATACAATCTGACATTTTTATTATTTCTTGGCATGTTCTGTGGTTGAGGAATGCACTTTTGATTTTAATTGCTGGCAATAAGGCCAAAGTAGAAATCATGAAAGACCGACTGTTCTTCCATGTAAAATGTACATATGAGCTAATCTGGTGATTTACCTCTGCAAAAAGAAGTTTCAGACAACCTAGAACGTATTTTAAAGTATTTGTTATTCTAGAGTAGCTATGTTCTCCATATTTAAGAAGCCTCATTCTTTTTTTCTAGGTTTCACTTTAGCCTAGAACAGAGGTATACTCACAGGGCAAGGGCACCAAGGAGGAGAATTGACAAGGCTAATACTCAGGGGCAAGACAGATAAGTTGTTTTGAGAAAACTGAACAAACTGAAATGGATTAAGAATAAAAGAATGAGAAAGAAATATGAAAATACTGAAGGCAGACAAGAAAAACCTTACATATATGCATAAGTGGTGGTCCTGAAGGAGACAACAATTATAAACAGAAAACCAGAAATAATACTCAGAGGTACTCCAGCGATGGCTGTAGGAATCCTGGCCAGATGGTGGGTATGCACAGACCCCATGTCTCTGATCCCCTCTCCTTCCTGGTTCCCTCCCTTGAGCTAACTCAACAACTAAAGCAGGCATGCATTCAAGGTTGGAGAGTGCACAAAGGCCATGGGTTCTCCAGAATCTGCAAAGGAGAGTGTACAAGGCTGCTTCTCCGTGAGATGCAAGTGAGAGCTTAGGTACCTGGTAAGGAGAAAGCCTGCCCCTTCCCAAGGCCTGGGAAGACCCAGGATCATGTGGTACTTGTGGGTATTCAGCTGGCAGAAACCCATGTCTCCCTTCTGAGCGAGCCTACAGCTGTCTTCTTTCTG